TTGCTATGGGTTAGAACTGACTCGACGGCAATTAACAACAGCAAAAATATTCCAAGCACTCACCTCCATATATATTACACCAATTAAGGAAACTGAAATCCAGATGTTGTGCCATGATTTAAAATCATAATCCTCAGACTCTTAAACTTGTCATCTTTCAGAGAAAGTACAAATTTCAAGAAGGATGTTAAGCAGTTCATTTTCCCCCCTGTAGTAATATAAAAAGGAATCCTGGCAGTGCAGTGGATTACAAGCTGCGCTGCTAACTTCAAGGTCAACAGTTCAAATCTGTCAGTCACTCTGTGGGAGAAAGATGAGACTTTCTGCTCATCTTTTTACAGCCTCAGAAACACTATACAGAGTCGCTAGGAGTTGGAACTGACTCAATGATACACAGCCACCATCACCATCAGTAATACAAGAACAATATTCTCTATCAAGATCCCTGGGTGTCACAGATTGTACTTGATTCTAACCTGGTGTGGCGCTATAGCATAAGCACTGGATGGCAAACCACAAGGTCAGCGGTTCAAACCTACCAGCAGCTCCTTGGAAACCCTATATGAGATCGCTTTATGTCTGAATCAACTTTACGACACTTCATAACAACAACTACTAACCTAAAGGTTTAGTTCAACTCTACCCAGAGGCATCTCAGAAAAAAAGGCCAGGCAATCTGCTTCCATAGAGATCCCAGCCAAGAAGACTCGATGAGCAATTCTCCTCTGTAACATACAGCGCTGTCAGAGTGGGGGCTGACTGCACACTAACAGGTTCATAATGATTGATTATGTATTCCTTATGGAAGGAATTTCAAACAGTAAAAAAGTTCTTCTCTAAGGGAATTCCAAGTCCTCATTAAGTACCTTCAGTAAGGATAACCAGAAGAGTAACCTCTCAATATTTTTCTTTTCAGGAGTGTCACAGGGCATTTTAATAAAAATTTGACTATTCGATACTGTCTCCTCTTTTAATCTGCAAGCTCCTGCCTCAGGAATTATGTCTGTCTTCTTCTGATATACAGCATATAATATAAATAGCACAGTACTTGGCACATGTTTGGTACTTCCATTAATACTTGTTTAAAAGAATGAGTTTTGGGTCATAAGCTCAAAAGCAAGAAAGCATAATTGAAGCTTAAAGAACCACTATGTATTAACAAAGGCAGGACCCATGTCTCTTATTTACCACTGTTTCCTTGTACATAATATTAATGGGTAATCCTGGTGTGGCACTATGTGTTAATGCGCTGGACTACAAGGTCAGTTTGAACCTCACGGTCAGTGGTTCAAGCTTACCCCTGCAACTCCTCAGAAACCCTGCACAGGGTCTCTATGAATAGAAACTGACTTCATGGCACTTAAACAAATTATCCACAGTTTGTGGATAATTATAAAGATAGGACAAGGTTAGGAAGATTTAACACATTTTACAAAGACAAATATGTTTCTGAAACATATTTATTCAGTTTTCTCCCCTGCCTTCATTCAATTTTAAAGAGTAAATGCAAATTTATGCTTCTGTAATAGCTAACCACAAATGTTTTTTAGTGAGCAACAGCTCAGACCTACTGAGATGGGCCTGAAAAACTGTGAACAATATCTAACTGTATACACTACTAAAAGTAACCAGAATGGTTAACCAGGTGTCACGCTATTCTCTGGCTTTTCTCTGAAGAACAATGTACGGATGAGTACCATGATCCCTTACCTAGGAAAATTTCGGAGGCAACTACTCTAATACTGGAATCCTGGTGTGGCATTGCAGGATAATGTGCTGGACAGCAAAACCAGTTTGAACTGCAAGGTCGGCAGTTCAAGTTCATCTGCAAGGTCAGATGTTCAAGCTCACCAGACGCTCCTTGGAAACCCTATATAAAGTCACTATGAATTAGAATTGACATGACAGCACTTAACAACTCTAATACCGATGCTTCTTACATCAGTATTAGACAGAAAACAGCACAAAAGTAAAAGGGAAAAAGGATAAAGGTCAATGTTACCCCAATGTCACCAATTTGAACCATCTTTTTGAAGAATTTCATTCTGCAACTTTGACAAATTATATTATACAAATTGACTTTTCAGATTGTTAACCAATTGCCTTTAAAAAGTACATGATATAACAAATGAAGGCAGCAACAGTCTTCCCTATTGCTAGTCCAAGTCAAATAAAAACTTTCCTTGTTTTCTGGACAATGAATCCATCTTCTTATAAATGATTAAATGGCATGGGGTTTTATTCAAATGCAAAAGGAATTGGCCCATCACTCTTCAAAGTTAGGCAAGAACTATGAGATGATCCATCTTCCATGTTGTATGCATTAAGAAATAAAATGCTATATTGAAGAACTGACCATCTGAATTATGGTGTTAGTGAAGAATACTGAATATACATAGATTGCCCGAAGAATAAATAAATCTGTCAGCCAGAATGCTCTTTTGAAGCAAGGATGGCAAGACTTTGTCTTGCTACTTTGAACAAATAATCAAGAAGGACCAATCCTTCGAGAAGAACATCATACTTGATAAAGTAGAGGATCAGTGAAAAAGAGGAAAACACTCACTAAGATGAACTGACAGGTGGCTACAACAATGGGCTCAAACATACCTACTATTGGAAGGATGGCACAGAACTGTTCTGTTATAAAGGAGGTTGCAATAAGTTGGAGATAATGTGATGACACCTAACAACAATACTCTAATAATCCCCTCCATTCAGGAAGGAACTAAACAATGACAAAGGGAAACTAGGGGAAGAGGGTTAGACATGGGTCTAAGGTTGCTATCTTGAGACATGTGTCTAGTGAGTGACATGTGGAACCAGGGTGGGATGGGATCCTTCTCTCATACTGTAGAAAAGAAGGCAGGATAAAACAAACACTAGGTCAGAGGGTACAGCATCTCTCATTGTCCATCATGGGCAATGTCCACTGGACTGTTGTTTCTGTTATCGCTAAGTGTTCTCAAGTCATTTCTGGCTCATAGTGACCCTGTATAGGGTTTCCAAGGATCCGCTGATGGGTTTGAACAACCAACCTTATGGTTAGCAGTCCTGCGCTTATCCTACAGTGCCACACCATGACTCTCAATATTCCAGCCCTAAGCTTGAATTTTTTCTTGAGTTATTTCAAGTTGAGAAATGCTGAGCATATTCTTCCATTTTACTTTTCTAACTCTAGGTCTTTACAAATTTCATAATACCACTTCAGTTTTTTGTCATCTCAAGTTGTCTTTTGAGATTTTCTGCTCAGTCCTTTTACGTCACCATTTCTTCCGTTTGCTTTAGCATCTCAACATTCAAGAGCAAGTTTCAGAGTCTCTTCTAGCACCCATTTTGTTTTTTTCTTTCTTTCCTACCTTTTTAATGATTTTTTTTTCTTTCTTCCTGTATGATGTTCTGATGTCATTAGTGCCTAGTGCATCAAATCTGTTCTTGAGATGTACTCTAAATTTATGTGAAATATCCTCAAGGTTGTATTTTGGCTCTTGTGGACTTGTTTTCATTTTCTTCAGCTTCAGATTGAACTTGCATATGAACAGTTGAAAGTCTGTTAGAAGGTCAGCCCTTGACCTTCTTTTGGTTGATGGTATTGAGCTTTTTAACGTCCCTTCTCGCATATGTAGTCAATTTCATTCTTGTGTATTTCATCCAGTGAAGTCAATATGTAGAGTTGCCATTAAGGTTGCTGGAAAAAGGTATTTGCAACGAATAAGTCACTAGTCTTGTAAAATTCTGTCATGTGATCTCCAGGATCATTTCTATCACCAAGGCCATATTTTTCAATTACTGATCCTTCCTCTTTGTTTCCAACTTTTACATTCCAATTACCAGTAATTACCAATGCATCTTGATCACATGTTTGATCAATTTTAGACTGAAAAAGTTAGCATTCTTTAATTTCATTATCTTTGGCTTTAGTAAATGGTATATAAATTTGAATAGTAGTTGTAATGGCTGGTCTTCTTTGTAAGCACATGGATTTTACACTATCACAGACAGCATTGTACTTCCAGATAGATCATGAAATGCCAAAAATTCATTTTTGACAATGAATGCAATGTCATTCCTCTTCAATTTGTCATTTGTAGCATAAAAATCCATATGCTTCTCTAATTCAAAATGTCAATACCAATCTATTTCAGCTCACTAATGCCTAGATTATCTGTCTTTACACATCCCATTTTATTTTTGATGACGTCCAATTTTCCTAGGATCATCTATCATATAATTAAAGTTCTGATTATTGATGGATGTTTTAAGCTGCTTCTCCTCATTTTGAGTTGTTCACCATCAGCAATTGAAGGTTCCAAAGCTTTGCTCCATTAACATCATTAAGGTCATCTCTATTTTGATCTTCCCCAGGTGTATTTTGAATGCGTGCTAACCTTAGGGTCCCATCTTCTGGCACTATATCAGACAATGTTCCACTGCTATTCATAAGGTTTTCATTGGCAAAACATTCTTAAGTGGTCCACCTCTCCTTCTTCCTAGTCTGTCTTAAGTCTGGAAGCTTGACTGAAACCTGTCAACCACTGGTGACACTACTGGTATTTAAAATACCAGTGGCATAGCTTCCAGCATCACAGAAGCATACAAATCACCACAGCACAGCAAAGTGATAGAAGAGTGGTGGATCTCATAAATTGTTGTCATGTGCCACTGAGTGATCACCAATAGTGATCCTATGTACAACAGAACGAAACACTGCATGGTCCTGTGTCATTCCCACAACTACTGCCACACTTGAGCCAATTGCTGCTGCCACTATACCAATTTATTTCATTGAGGGTTTTTCTCCTTTTCGCTTACCCTCTACTTAACCAACCATGATGTCTTTCTCCAGGGATTGGTCCCTCCTGATAACGTGTCTGAAGTATAAGAGATGAAGTCTCTAAGAAGCATAACTGTACTCCTTCCAACACAAATTTGTTTGTTCTTCTGGCAGCCCATGGTACTTTTAATATTCTTCTCCAACACCATAACTCAAATACATCAATTCTTCTACAGTCTTCCATATTCACTGTCCAATTTTCACTTGCATACGAGGCTCTTGAAAATATCGTGACTTGGGTGAGGCACACCTTGGTCTTCAAATTGATACCTTTGCACTTAAACACTTCGAAGAGGTCTTGTGCAACAGATTTGCCTAATGCAATACATCATCTGATTTCTTGACTGCTGCTTCCATGAGTGTTGATAGTGAATCTAAGCAAAATGAAGTCGTTGACAACTTCAATCTTTTCTCTGTCTATCATGATGTTATTACCATCATGATAAATATCACTAAATAAATGATAGCTAGAATAGCATTTGTTATGTTGATATTCCCCTACCTCAGCAGCAATGATAACTTAAAAAATGAACAAATATAAGCACAGCAATAGAAAATCATGTTTGAGTCGATCAAGGAGAAGATTGTATTTAATGAAGAAAGAAGACAATTGCTAAGATAGATGCCAGTAAATACAGTTTTCTCCATAATATGGTTAATGTGAACTTATCAAACAATTACAAAAGGTCAAGAGGCCAGTGTCTATCTACCTAAGACTTTACTGCTTGTTCTGGGAGACTGGCCTTGTTAAATAGTGGCTTTAGAGGTTTATATTTATTCTAAAGCACACCTGATTAGACAATAGCCCATTGTCCACTACTTTCCGTGGAAATGTGGACTCAATCTGAGCCACTACTAGTTGGTCCATCAGAGTGTAGAGTTGTGAACTTAACTAGACATCAAAAGTAGAATATTTAAAAAAATAACTTGTTAATTTGGTTTCTTCTGGACTGGAGACGTACATAGATCAGCATCATTCAAGTATACTATTTTTTAAACTAACATTTAAAAAGATATTACTATGTGCTTGGCTTAATAATGAGTTCATTATCTTCTTTACTTCTCATATTAATTTTCTGTAGTAGGTTATTACTCTCATCAATTAAGGAGCTACAATTAAGGTTATTACTCTCATTAATCGAGGTGAGGTGAAAATTATGAAGGAAAATAGATTTTTAAGTGTCACATACTAGCAAACTGTCATCATCCTGGGTGGAGAAATGGCCTATCCCAGAATAGCATTTATTATGTTTCATGCTGTTATTCAATCTCACTGGCCTTCCACATGCCCAGTATCAGAGATTCTGAGGGTTCTCAACAAGTAACATATGAAAAGTGTAATGGTTAGGATTCTGTGTCAACTTGACTAGCCAGGATTTCTAGAGGTTCAGCAGTTGGGATATGCTTACTCTCATGATGATGAAATCTAATACAGGTATAGTCAACTCTGATGAGCGGTTATGAGCAGCCAATCAATTAAAGGGATGCTTCCTTGGGGGTGTGGTCTACTCTCAGTATAATGGACTCTCTCCTCCACTGGGGACCTGGGACTCTACAAGTTTATTACGGCAATATACTAAACTTCTCTTTATATATACATACATATGTTTTATTGGTTTTGCATCTCTAGAAAACCTGGCCTAAGGCAAGCAGGAAGACTAAAATAGCAATTATTCTAAGAATTGATTATTAAAACAACTTCTCTGTCAGTACCTTTCCCATGTGATCTTGAATTGGATACTTAAATAAATTATGATTCATCAAGAAGCCTATGTCTGTTTAAAATAATAATATGGTTTATTATTTTTAAAAAGATTTAATTTCTGAAAAGCAAAGTACAGTTTTAAAGCATTCATAAGATATATAAGGAGCAAATGAAAATCCTAACAGAAAATGGACAAAGGTTATGAGTAAGATGTCCATGGGGGGTGGGGACGTGGGGTAAATGCAAAGAGACAATTAACAAAACAAAAGATATATATTGTTGCTGTTGTTGTTAAGTGCTGTGGAATCTGTTATAACCTATAGCGACCCTGTATAGGGTTTCCAAGGAGCAGCTGGTAAGCTTGAACCACTGACTTTGCAGTTCAAATGGCTTTGCAGTCTGATGCATTAACCCATAGCGCCACACCAGGACTCCCAAAGATATATATGTTGTTGTTGTTAACTGCTGTTGAGTCGATTCTGACCCATAGCGACCCTGTATAGGGTTTCCGAGGAGCAGCTGGTGAGCTTGAACTGCCAACCTTGCAGTTCAAACAGCTGTGCAGCTGGCGCATTAACCCACAGTGCCACACTCACTCATAATTTAGGAAATGCAAATCAAACCACAAAGACATCATTTTCAAGCTAACACATTGGCAAACAAATAAAAGTATCAGTAATAACCAGATGTGGAGAGAGAGGGTCCTCTGAGCTACTGATGCATAGAAAGTTGTTTCTTTTAATTTTTGTCAAATGTTAAGTGCATTTTAACAAGTTAAAAATTTGACATTTGACAAAACTTTTACATTGTTAGACACTCATCCCACAGATATACCAACAAAATCATGTCAAGATTTGGCATAGCAGCAATGTTCGTATTAGGAAAAAAATTAAAAAAAAAAAAAAGTCCTACTCCCAAACACCAAATGACCTAAATATTTTCCAGAGAGTTAATGATTAAATAAATGGTGATACATACTATCACGTGGAGTTGTGGTGTGGCACTGTAGGATTGGTACTGGACTGCTAACCACAGGTTGGCAGTTCAATCCCACCAGCTGCTTTTTGGACACCTTATACAGGGCCACTATGAACCAGAACCGACTTAATGGTATGCAACAACAATAACAATCTATCACATATGTTGTTGTTTAGTGCTACTGAGTCGTTTTCGACTCACCGTGAGCCTGAATAAGGTTTCCAAGGAGCAGACAGTGGGTTTAAACTGCTGACCTTGCAGTTCAAACTGACCTTGCAATCCAATGCTTATCCTACAGCGCCACACCAGGACAGTCATTATTTGAGTACGTGTATAATTTTTATTTTAAAATTCCAATATTTTAAGAGGAAGAAAAATCAGATTCCTACCTGATTCTTTTAAGTAATGCTTAATAATTGAAGAAACTCCTTGAGGTGCCACAAAGTTCGAGTCTCCATCTTTCATCACCATTCCTTTGATAGGAAAAGTCAGAGGCTTCAAAACACCATGTGCTAACAGTTCATCATAAAAACTGAAACGAATGAATATTTACATAATTTAAGCATATACTATGATTAGCTCTTAAAATACCATATTCTCTTTCAAGAAGTTTTAGAAGTTGTAATTTTAACTCATAACCAGCAACCTTCAGGGGACTGACTCAATGTATATTTTGTTAAATCAAATTAATAATTCAGATGGAGAACAGAAGTGTTTCAAGAATCCATAGACATTAGGTAAAGGTCTATTTCCACATGCATTTCAAAATCAAAGTCAATCAAAACAAACAGAAAACTATTCCCAGTTTACTCAGGTTAACCTTTTATTGCTAATACCACCAATGGCAGTATAACTTCGCTTTATTACAAGACAGGAGCCCTGGTTGCTTAGTGGGTTGCTTACCACAAGGTCAGCAGTTCAAACCCACCATCCACTCTGAGAAATTAAGATAAAGCTGTCTGCTTCCATAAAGATTTAGCCTTATAAACCCTATGTTGTTGTTGTTGTTAAGTGCCAACGAGTCAGTTCCGACCCATAGCGACCCTGTACAGGGTTTCTGAGGCTATAAATCTTTACGGGAGCATAAAGCCTCATCTTTCTCTCGCAGAGTGACTGGTAATCTTGAACTGCTGACCTTAAGGTTCGCAGCCTGATTTGTAACCACTACGCTATCAGAACTCCTTTATAAACCCTATGGGGCAGTTTTATTCCAGTCAAAATGGGTCACTATGAGTCAGACTCAACTCAAGGGCAGTGGGGGGGATGTTAGAAGAACAACATTAATGTTTTGTTTTGCTAAGTACCATTGAGTTGCTTCCTACTCAGAGTGGCCCTGTATAGGGTATCCAAGGGGCGGCTGGTGAGTTTGAACTGCCAACCTTGTGGTTTAAACAGACTTTGCGGTCCAGTGCTTTATCCCACAGCACCACTCCAGGACTCCACATACAACTAGTAATTCTGATTTCCCCCCTTTTAACTAACTCACCTTTGGTGTATTTTGGCATAATAAGGCGAGCAGGTGATGTACTGAGCACCCAAGTCAGCAGTGCACTGTGGATTCTGAGGACTGCTGGCCGTAGTCATTCGTCCCCCTTGAGTGAATCCAGAGGAAAATATTTTAGTGAAATGAGCCTTTTGGAATTGATGTAATTCACCATAAGTTTCCTCCAGGTTAATTACACATGTATTAGATTTTTTTTTTCTTCATATAATGGTTTGTTCATCTAAAATTTCCATGAGGTAGATAACAGTCAAATTGGTCACTGTGAGATTACAAAAAAGTAATAGTGAATACTGCAGCATTGTCCAACACAACATTTGGTGCATATATTTAGTAACGAACACAATGAAGGAATAAAATAACAGAAAATGAAGAATGAAATTCTCATAATGAACGAATGAACAAATGCTTTCTTCCACTCCTGCAGTCAGGTTTCATGAGAATATGGTAGTCACCTGCTTTTCAAGAGTTAGCTTTACACCACTTCGCTTTTGAAACACCTAGGCTAATACTTATTTTCCCTAAAGGGAAGAAATCTTAAAAGGATTTATGCTTTTGTGAAAAACAAACAAACAAAACAGGGAAAGTGAAACTAGCTTTTCAACATTTCCTTTACAGTGAGCCATTGAAGAGGCAGCGCACACCTCATGTATTGAGAGGCCTGAGTTGTTTCCCCGGGAACTACATTCAGCATCTCAGCATTCAACTATCAAGAGTTTTAAATTTTGTCCGTGAACACCATACACTAATGTTATTTTAG